AAAAAAGTAACATGAATTCAAAAAAAAGTACTTTTACAAATCTCTACAAATTAGAGATTTGCTTTGAGTTTTGTCTATTCATATTTTATAATAAACAACCTCAAAAAATCTACCAAATTATAAATCCTCTAAATCTCCTTTTTAATTAAATACCCCGTAACTTGTAGAGACTTCTAAAAAGTTTCAATTGAATACCTTGTAACTTTGAGAGACTTTTAAAAAGTCTCTCAAAGTCTCAATTGAATACACCTGAATTTTTGGAGAGTGTCTAAAAGTCTCCATTGAATACACTTAAACTTATGAAATCTCCGAAAGTCTCTAAAAGTCCTAATTAAATACATCCCCTTAAAAAAAGTGACAAAAATCCAAAAAAGTGACAGAAATTGAAAAAAGTGACGAATTCAAAAAAAGTGACACAAATTAGGTCTTTGTGCATTGACACGTCAGGAAGGCATGGATAGGGGGTCCAAAAGTCCCGAACCGAATCGGACCGAACCGAACCCGAACCGAACCGAATCGAGGGTTTTTCTTAAATTAAATACCCGAACGGGTACCCGAATCGAGAACCGATGGGTTTGGGTCTGGTCTCGGGTCTAGACCAAAAATCGAAGAACCGAATAAGAACCGAAACTAAATATTTTTTTATTTTTTATATTGAATTAATTAAATTATTTTACTTTTTTTATACAAATTAATTAAATAAATTAGATTATTTCATAATTTTAATTTTAAAACTCAAATCATTTTTAAAATCCATTTGCCCATTTTAATTTGAAGCAAATGAATATACTTTATGCAGTTTTGTTGTAACATTAATATCTATTTTTTGGTATTTGTATGCATTGAATTAATCTTATTGGTCGGTTAGTTATGTATATATTTTTGAATTGGGATACGTTAATTTGTAAAAGTTACGAATGAAATGTCATTAATTGTATTTATGTAGTGTTTTTGAAAATATTAAAAAAAATTAATTATGGTACGGAACCGAACGGAACCGAACTCGAACAGTTCCATAATTATATTTGGACCCGATAGGTCCATTTATTAAATACCCGAAAGTTTTGGGTAGGTTCGGGTCTCTTCAGAACCGAACCGACCCACGGACAGCCCTAGGCATGTACTATTTCTAATATCAATTAAGAGTTTGAAATACTCCTCATTTCTATGATATTAAGCGTCACAATCATAACTCCACAAGTTTTTGTGGTGGAGAAGACATGGTTGAGCCTTTTTATTGCATGAACTCCAAAATTTCAAGAGCTTTAGTCACATTTGTTTCAATCGTCCGTCTAAAACTCTTGGTTATACATCATTTATAGAGAAAAGTGACAAAAACTCA